CCAATACCGCCAATCGTTGACAAACACTCTGTCGGCGGCGATAGTGTCGGACAGACAGGGAAATGACGGGCGTTTCAATTGTACAAATGTTTGTCCCGTAAACATAATGTTATACTCGATGTTTAAATTTAAATTGGTCATTTGGTGCCATCCGCCCAAATTACTCATAAAAAGTAACCATATTTTATCGCTCTTGATATCTATGACAATTCGTCGAAATTTATTGCTTAATAGTTTAGCGGTTAATGTATTGGAAACGCCGGCCTCTCGCGTAAAAAACGTGTTATAAATAAACGATTCATTTTTAACGTTAAAAGATAGGAGCGTATTGTGTGGCGGACAGTGAACCAGTTCACCATGCTCAAATTCAAAATTGCACGCCATTACAGTTTGGTTATAGTCGTATATTTGGCGTCTGAATAGTGATAGATTGTTTGCGCGTAGAATGTTTATATATGTTTTATTAAGTGTGTAATATGAATTGGTTATATCACGACCATGTGCGACTGTACGTACTGTGAAATCGTATGTCATTACTGTAAATACCAGCGAAGGTATGTGAACAGTATTACTCACTTCAATATTAGATTTAACATTGTAATCAATGTAATCTTGGTAAATTTGTAACACCTGCAAAGTCAGTAACATAAAGCATATACAAACGGCTAAAACACGAAACACCAGTGCTTTATACTTTATTTTACGTAAAATGTTGATTTTAATGACATTGGTCAATTTGAAAGGTTTAATTAATTTTAGAGTTGAGTAAACACTTAGACCTAAATACATGCCCATAAGACCGCCCACAGAGGACAGGTAGTCTACAATTGACATTTTGGGCAACAGTCGCCACACCATTGTTATGTATCCATTATAGGTAAAAGTGATATATTTAAAATTGAGCTCGTTTGGAAAAATTACATCAAGGTCTGATTCAGTCCACGTCACATCTGTCTCGTAATAACTGCACCCAATTTTACACATGCGATGCAATGCATTATAGTCTGGACTCACGTAACAGTTTGTCCGTTCGTCCGATTTGTTCATACGGTTAACGATGTCTCGTATGCTCTCATTGGCGGCCAATCGACTCCAACTCCAGTACCGGTTGTGCCCACACGAGTGCCTCTCCTGTCGGGCCATCGCCTCAACCATACACTCGGACCGAGATTTTGGGCCCCCAATAGAGTAATGGCTACAATCGGTCCAATAGGGTCGGGGTAATTGTATTATTAGTTTTGCAGTAGCGATTCCAATGAACATTTTATTAGCCCCCATCACTTCGGTCATGTTATCAAAATGTGGATAGTAATGCTCCGGGTGCAAAGTGACTGAAACTCTCTTAACATAAAAAAGTTTTAAAACAGCTTGTTCAAATTGTTTTATTTTTGTCGAGTTTAGTCCGGCATTCAAATGCGTGATACAAACGCTAGAGTCCCGGGTCTGGCGTACGAACACCGGGAACAGTGGCTCGCAGTTGATATTTCTATATGACATGTGTGTCAACAGACAAATCACGCTCTCTTTGCCCCACAATTGCCGCACCGATCGGTTCCCGTTGAGCCCCGAGTGCTGTCTCTTCACACATACCGTAATCGACGGCCGAAACACCGATTGATCGCTATTTCTGTCAAACGTTAAATCATTGATCACTTCATAACTTAAATAATTGTTAGTTTCCTTATATATTTGATACGTGAATAGCAATAATATTATACATTTAACTTTTGATAAATTAGACAATAAATATATTATATCTTTTATTATCATGTTGATATTAAGTAAAATATCGGACATATTGATTTATTCTACCAAAATATATATAAAATTTATATTATAATTTCTAACTTATTATCACTATAAATGAATAAATTGTTTTTTATTGACTTTATTAAATACTGCATAACATATACATGTATTTATGATATTATATTTGATTGGATTTACAGTTTACTATTGATTTCTCTGATCACTCGATATATAATATAAGTTATATTACATCTAATCAGTTATTAGTAATCACGTTAAATATTATTTAAGATTTAAGATTAATTTTGAGTAAAATTAACAAATATATGTCAAATTTTACAACAGATTTTATTTTACACAAAAAATCAATTCAACAGAGATTGTATTACTTATATTTATGATATCATTTCAGTCGATATTTTAATATTTAATAAATATATTCCATATAATAATTATGCTACCATTCAATTGACAATACTGTATATAATAGTGAATGTTTAATGATATAAAGTAATTATAATAGTATATGAATTAATACTTATATTTTTCATATAATAAAAAATAATGACATAAAAATAAAATGATTTACAAAACAAAAACGTGTATTCATTATACAGTTAATGATACAAGAATATTCTTACTAATATACAAATATATTTTACATCTGTATTGTATAGGTATACTGTACTTTATATACCCATTTTATGATAAATACAGACCATTGGGTTTAAAATTAAAATGGTATCAATAATCTGATTAAACTATAATTTAATGTACAACATTATTTATAATGGTATAGATATTTTAAAAAATGTTTATGTTCATTATAATTTATTATATACACTGGCATACATTTTGAATAAAATTAATTGTCATTCAAAATTACAACAATTTATTTAATGTATGTTTACATTTTTAAATGTTTATTTGTATCAAACAATACTGGATGGACTTATTTTATTTAAATTACTATTTTAAATAAAATAAAGTCTAAATATCATAATTTATAATTTAAATAATAATTTATATACAATAAGCATGACACATCTTTTTAGTATATCACAGGTTTAGATTCACAAGGCGCATCTGTCTGTATTAAACGAGAAACATCATGTGAATGCTAAATAATAGTTTCTTGCTCATTATAACGTGATTAAAATGCACACATAAGTCCTAATTCTTATTCTTATAATAGGTTTGTTCAAAAATAGCAAAAGAATAACCGGAATTTATTGTAATAACATGAGAAAACATTCAGCAAGGTGTTATTTAACCATAGTGGTATACCTCATATTGTTATATGACCTGGGGATTGGCAACAATGACCACTTTTATGTGCAAATATTTAAAATCAAATCTTATTTTATGAATATGCATATCATATTTATAGTGCTAAAATATTTGTTTACAACGTTGCCTCATTTGTCTTATTCAATATAATCATGTTTAATTTTGATGTAAATATAATGTAATGATGTTATATATGTAAATTATCATTTAAAACAGACAGCTATGAAGATTAAAGTTAGATAAATTACTTGGGTATGCGGCAACACTAACAAGTATACCAAATTGATTTGTATATACTTGATACAATACACACTTTGCTTGATTTAGCACCAATAGTATACAGTAAGAAAAATCTTAAATTATTTTTAAGATAATAAAACTTACATTATTTACAACTAAAATCAAAGTTTGGGTACAAATAAACGTAATCACAAACTAATTATTTATTATTTTACAATTAGTTTGCCATTTCTTAATTAGTATAATAAATAAAACAAAATTACTTGTGATAAAAACGGCATGACTACATCACAATATAACATGATTTAACAAATTATAACCTAATGATAAATAGTATGATTACAATTATAACGTAGATCCTTAAAACAAATACAATATTTATAACATTAAAAAATTGTAAAAATATTTGTATTTTAATTATTGTATACATGAAAAACTAGTGCCAAATGAAGTATTCATTAATTACAATCTTATTGATTATAATAACCACATTTGATGGCCGGGAGTGTCAGTCAACGGACAAGAAGTGGGAAATACCGGCGCACCTGAACTGCAGCCGAGCGCTGATCGATAGGCACCAGAAGTCATGCCTGGATCGGGTGCGCGACGACTGGGAGTTTAGCGGCGAACTCGACCTAAACGTCAATCAACTAAATCACCGCACGTTTTGCTGCGCTCTTTGGGATTACATGTTTTGCGTGATAGTGGAGGCCCGGGATGTCTGCTCCGGCGGTGACCTGTCGGCCGTCATTGACTCGTCGACAGACACCCAAAAGCTGGTCGAAGCCGAGGAATGCGATGATTTTATTAGGGATGACGTCCTGTTCCAGTGTCAGGTGCACTGGTACGAGCTGATGATCTTGATCATTTTTCTAGTTACGGTTGTTATCATTGTGGGCGTGATTTTGTATAATAATTGCCGCCAGAATCGACGCAAACCCCAAAAGTTTGAAATCATTAAGGTCTATGTGTAATAAGGTTTATGTAATAGAAAGTGGATTACTTAAAAGCTGTACTACCAGGGTATAATTTATAAAATTAACAGTGTCATATTATTGACATTAATTGTATAATGTAATTTGTTTTAATCATTAAACTCATTATTAATAATTTTCTTTTTAATTGTGTAATGCTTATTTATTTATAAATTATTTTTACTATTAATTAAATCATATTATAATATTAAGTAAAATGAATCTAGATGTTGACGTTTAACAATTTAAAACTAAAAAACTAAAAACTTAAAATTTTAAATTTTTAGTATGGAAATGTTTGTCCAATTAATAATAACATTGTTATAACTATATTTCGCTGTATAAACTTATCATAATATAACATACAATAAATATTAGCAATAAAAACCCACAAAATAACTATTTTATAATTACAATTAATATCTTTATTGTATTTTGATTAATGCATTTTAAAACCTTGATTATTTTACCATATATTAATTATGATATTAAACATTATTATTAATAATATAGCTGTATATTATGTATTATTAAAAGTGGACACTACAAATACCTGTCATAGATATGAGAAATCAATATAATTATTCAATAAGTATTATGTAATTGTTAAAAATAAATTTCCAGACAAATTATATTGTAGTGGTATTTTAATTTTAATAAATAATATAATGACGAATTTATAACATAAATAATATTGTTAAAAAATAAATGTCTATTAAATGCCTAATTATAAGTCTAAAATAAGATATGCCGTAATATTTTGTAATAATTAAATTAATTAATCAAAACTAAAAGGTATATAAAGGAAATACTTTTAAAGCTATCTTTTAGATTAAAATATCATTACAAATATAATATTTTAACTTTTACTATAATAATTTAAATATAAAACAAACTAACCATGAATCTATTTCTGACAATTTCCTGTTTACTGGCAATCATATTGTCTATAAATGCGGTCACTTTCAGTCCGGAAGAGATTTCTGAGGCCAAAAGTGGCCGACATTTTAATAACCGCGTAGTGTTGGTCACCGGGTCGTCGTCGGGCATCGGAGAGGCTATTGTCAAACTGTTTAGTTTATTGGGCGCTAAAGTGGTGGTCACCGGTAGGAAAGCGGCTGAAGTGAAACGAGTGGCAAACGAAGCGCACCAGTTATCGCCACATAAACACAGAGTTTGTATATTTTTAAAAATATGTTAACATCTAATTTAATATTAACAATGTTACAACTACTATTAATTATTATCAGTAAATTAACATGTTGTAAATTATATATTGAATAAATTAATAAACAGCCGCTGGAAGTGGTGGCGGATGTGACCAAACCCGACGATCTGAAGAAACTGATGGACGAGACAATCAAAACCTATGGTAAATTAGACGTATTGGTGAACAACGCGGGAATGTTTAAAATGTCGGGAATTAGAGACAATAAAAACTTTATGAAGATATACGACGAGACATTTCAGGTAAATGTGAGACCTGTGCTTAAGTTGAGTCAATTGGCTGTACCACACCTGGATAAAACTAACGGCACTATAATTAGCACATCCAGTCGACTGTCAGAGAACCCGGTAAATTATGCGATAAAACTAATTCATTAAAACTATTATTTTGTTAATCTATTATAAATAAATTTAAGCATCGATTTGGATCGGCGTATAGTATGTCCAAAGCGGCCATAGATATGGCTACTAAGGTGTTGGCACTGGAATTGGGCCCTAATATTAGGGTTAATTCTGTTAAGTACGTGATTAAATAAAATTTACTAAACAATTGATTATGATAATGTTTACTTATAGTCCAGCTCTAACTGAAACCAATATGAATGCTTATGTTGAACCAGAGGTTATGAAAGTGTTGATGGATAGGGTTAGTAAAGATACACCACTGAAACGGTTGGCTCAGCCCCTGGATGTGGCCAAAGCTGTGGTATTCCTGGCCTCACCGGACGCACAGTTTATTAACGGCGCCCACATTCACGTCGACGGGGGTTTCAAAGGGTTTATGCCATAGTTTTGCGGCAATATTATCTTAATTATTTTTAATTTAGTTGTACGTTTGTTATTTCTCTATGGTCAGTAAATGTCTCTATTTGATTAAAGTACTTTATACTTTTAAGTTAAAAGTTTTAACGACTAACTGTTACTAATATAATTACTAACTGAAATACAGGGATTAATTTTGTTGATGTCTATTAACGCATTTCTATTTGTCGTACTTGTAACAAGTGGGCCTATTAACATTCATGTTACAATTATTTTTTATACTACTTATGAGTATTGGCTGATCAATAATTTTACAATATCTTGATTGATTAAAAGTCAAATTTACCAAGGTGAGTAAATAATTACCATCGACTCAATAGGTGGAATCAATGTTTTGCCACATCCCTCAATTTAATGGAGGGGGATGCATTTTCCCCTGGGTCGTTGTGAGTTAATGACTTAAATCATTAATATTAATATATTGATTAATTTCATAAATTGATCTAATAAATGTATTTTATTATAACAAATATTCATGCTATCAAATATTTACAATAATTTGTTAGTTTTTATTAAATATGTTTAACACAATTCTAAATACACATAATTTTATTTGACTTTTTGTTTACCCGTAATATGTTTACATAAAATATGTTATAACTGGTTGTACTGTATATCTTAAGCTATAATGGATAATAAAATTATATTGACAATAAAATTAATTATTACAAAAATATATTAATTTTTTTATGTACAAATTCCTATTTGTTGCAGATTTTTGATATATTTAGAAATTATGTAAACATTTTTATGAATCATAATTTATTATACATGCATATGAAATTTTAGTTCAAGTCTGAGCTTTGAGATTAATAAATAATTAATAAATTAGCTAAAGTCGTAAAATTATTCGTTTAAAGTGTTATTTTAATATAAATATTGGAATTATAAATATAAACATGAGCATCTATTTAATTAATATGCAACTTATTTAGACAAATATTATAACGTTTATAATTAATAATGTAAAGTACAACTTGCTCACCGCTGTACTAGATGAGCATATTAAATGACTTTTATATTGAATTTTAATAAATGTAAAACCATAATAATTATTAGATTTAATTATATTGAAAAATAAAAT